AAAAAGAAGAAGCTAAATGATAAAATGGAGAATTATTAGGTAATAAGCAATGATAAATTGAGAAAAAAAGATAATAATATGATAACACCAAATCAATTGTTGCATAGAATGATATGTTTAATTGTATCATAGCAATAAATCTAATCATAATGTACTATAATTTTAAATAAAAAATATTCTATTTAAAATTTAAATTAACAACACAATATAAACCGTCCAAAATAATCAATCATAAAAGGATGAATCCTTAAAAAATCACAAGTTTTTGGAATAATATGCTTCACAATGGAAAAATACCAAAATCAAATGATATGGAGTACTTGTAATTATTATCAGCCAAGGAGATGCCAATATAAAGGTAATTAATTACGCATATATATTAATTTGTATCCTAGGGTAATACATATAAATTATAAGATGTTACAATTATCATATATGGTATTATTTTATGTAACTCAAATCCATAGAATATATGTAAAGGTCGATGAATTTTATTTCTCACCTTTAATATAAATAAAGTTCATTCTTGATGATCATTTCTTCTTAATTTCTTGATATTCTCTTCCAAATCTACAAAGTCAACATGAAGAGTTGGATGTATGTTCGGTGAATCTGAAACTTTTCTTTTGATACTTTTTTTAGGTGCTGGTGGACACGTTGTCATCACTGGGATTTTGTGATCCGAAGAAGTTGGAGTTGTAAATCCACCATCATCATCGTCGCTATCATCATTTCTCGATTTGTATGTGTCATCATCTTCACACAACGTCTGTGTTGATCTTCTCTGTATCGTTCCAAATTGTCCTGAACATGGGCTTCCTTTATCTAGATCCTCTTCTTGAAATAGTATTTCTTTTTTATCATCATGATCTGGATTGTTTTCATCTTGGTTTTGGTCAACGGTGTCATGTTGACTAGGTGCAATATCCTCTATGCCCCTATCTGGAATTTTGTAAGTAATAATCTTTTTCTCATCATCTTCTTCTTGTTTTACTTGGAAAAGGTCTGGATTCGACATATCTAAAGAATATTCTATTTTTGAAGAAGGATCGCAAGTAGACCTGATCTGAACAAGCACAATGACAAGAAAAATGATGCTCACTTAATTATTGAGTGATTTGTCATGAGTTGAGTTATGAGATCAAAACTTTGAGTAAAAGACGATGGGTTGAGGAAGAGTGGAGGAGAAAAAGAGAAAGAAATGTGGTTTTTTAACATTAATAATAAATAAATAAAAGAGAAGGAGATATAATATTGGTTGAGGAATAAAAATGCCATCTCCATATTTTTAGTGAGCTGGCTAAACACATTTTCATACTCCTAGCTGTAACAATTTGTAGATATTGCTAGTATAAATTTAGTGTATAATGAAGTATTAATTATACACATATCATATATGAAATATACATTTCATAAAATTGTAAAAATTTAGTACTTCTATAATTATTTTTATTTTTTAAATAGGAATAGGGGTTTGAGAAATGGGGGAGGAATTTACATAGTGGGAAATAAATAGGAAGTACTTAAGCTAGCCAATATCGAGCTACTATGATTCCTCGGGCCATCATTAAATTTGTTAAGCTATTATTTAGAGTGAATCTTAATATCAAAATCGTTATGTTTACGGAGTTCTTTTAATTGTTATTCTTACTCTGTTCACTTTTAACTTTGACTTACTCTTTAGAAACAATGATTAATATATTTGAGTATTTCACCACAAAATTCATGTTAATTAACATTATTTTTTATGTATATATATGTAGTAGATGTTGAATCTATTTGACTTCTTCGTACGCTTACTTCTTTATATTTGAATTTCATTATTGAAAATTTCGATTCCGCCACTGATCGAAATTAAAAATAGAGAAAGGTAAAGTAGAGCCTCACGGCCAACGTATATTACAATGGATGACAATTATTTCTTCATTCTTAATCAAAAATTCTAATATTTTACTCCAAATTTCATTTTTATGTGTCTTTGTCAAAGCACATAGAATTAGAATATAGTAAGTGCAAATACAAATATCATGTTCATAGTAGGTTAGAACTTGGTAATTGTAGAAGTTTAATCATACAACAAGGCACGTGTGGTCATCTTAGTTTTCAACTTCTCATGACTTTCTAACAACTACTACTACTAATTCCCTATATAATTTAATGCTCTATGGTGCATGATCATATCTTATCTTAACCAATTTTTAGCATCCAAGGTTTATATATATATCATGCTTTTACTCTTGGTATATTATGGTTGAAATGTAAAGTCAAAACACTTTTTGTTGATTTTTTTTCTTCATTTGCTTCATAGTTAGGAAGATCTCATTTTCTATCTTTACATTAAATTGTTATTAGACTTATAAAGAGCTAGTGAAAATGAGTACGTAGTCTTGTACTTATAGGAAATGAACTAGAAGGTAAAATCCGTTGATTTATCTTCACATAGAATATTTCTGTTTGTTCAGTTTTATGCAAATTTCTGTATCTATCTGTTAGATATGTGGATGGTTCTGAAAGGTAATGCCTTTTTTCTATCGGGCCCTGAATATCCAATGGGCCTATTCTGTCCAAGCCTGTAGGCCTATCTTGTACTGAGGCCCAATTTTAGCCACCCTATAGATCAGAATGATGGCCCATCTAAAACTTGCAAGGATCATTGTCACTTTTGTCCTTATTTTACATTCATCTTTAATTTATGTTCCTCGTAACTTAAAAATGAAGTCACAAGGTGTATATTTATGTTTTTGTATTATAATATTTCATATGGTATGTCCAGATATGAATTTTGTTTCTATAGAACTTATTTCCCAATAGGTGTAAATCAATTGCTAAGGAAAAAATAAATGAAAAACACAATTTTTTTTAGGACAAAAATTAAAGATTAGTTCATTTTAAGACAAAATGTACAATTTTGTCAAATTGCAAGAGAGTAATAGACTGAGCTCGACTACAAATTTACACTCCAGCAAAGGCTTCTCGCGAGTACTCCTATACTCCCCTATAGATATTATGTATCCGGCTTAAATAGAGGTAAAAGAACTATTCGAGATCAACATTAAGAATATAAAAATTATTATAGTCCTTGAACTAACAAAAGATGAATTGGGGCGAAAAGCTTAGACTCTCAAGAATCTGAATACCACCACAGAAGAATATGCTATTTTATAATTTAATTAACTTCATACTGAACCATGCAATAAATATTTCGCACAAAATAAGATCATATTCACACATATAACATTAGCCTCATAAATTTTTGTTATATTAGCTATTTAGACAGAATGTCTGATTCTATTCACTTTAGAATGTGAGGTCCCAACTCCCCAGGAAGGACTATCCTTCTCTTTAATTTCTGTACCACTAATTTTATAATATACGTCACAGAACTTTTCATTTTCACAAAATATTATATCCAACCCCCCCCCTCCTTTTAGTAGGTAGGGGCAGGTTTGGGGGGTGGGGTGGGGTGGGGTGGGAGGGGGCTAGAAAAAGTTACATTTGATTTGGTCCCTCACAAAATTGAGAATATTTGTCTAAAGCATCCAAGACTGTCCTTTTTTATAAAATTAATTATTTCATCATTAGTTTTAATCATTTATCTTGGGAGAGTAACATATTATATCCTATGCGAGTATTATTTTATTGTATTGGTTTCCACGCTACATAGAATATTCAGAAAAGTAGTAAACTTGACTTTATTTTTAAGATGCACATAATACCAGCTAAAAATATTATTTCTATTGGATTGTATATATTATGAATGCCGTAGGTAATTAGATTAGGCAAATTATCATAGACACATTTATTTTTACAATATTTTTAAAGTTTCTTCTTCGTTCCCTTTCAGATACATTACTCTCCTCTGGTTAATACATTCCTTTCTTCTTGGATACATTCCTTCCATACATCCCTATCCTATATGAATGTCTGTTTATGTATCCTTAAGTCCAATAATATATCCGGGAGTTCAGTAATGTATTCGAAAATCTAGTAATATATCCGAAATTCATAAATTTTATAGTAAGAAAATAATATAATTAGATCTTCACACTAATTTTTTTTTATGTAAATTACACATTACATTAGTGCTTATTGTATAAACCTCAAGAAATTATATGTAGTTAATTATAAGTATGTCAATGGAAATGCTCTTAATTACATTGTCGTTCTAAATCAATGGACAACTCACTCACTACTTCTGCTATACGCATTCAACATGACAATATATATCAGACCACGTACTATATTATCTAAAGGACCATTAATTTGGTACTTAAATTTATGCACAAAGGTCCTCGATTGATTCAACCATGCATAGAGCCAATGATACACAGTAAAATCCCTTCTAAACAATGTGGTTGATCACATAAGAAAAAAAATTATTAGAATTTATATAGTACAATTTTATATGAGATTAAATAAGAAAGGAAGTGTATTTGCGATAAATGAATAAGAGTATATCTAAATGCAAAAAATGCTCTTAAATAAGGCCATCCACATAGTCACATTCTATTCCTCAATCCATTTCAATTTGATAATTCTTTAATTACAATTTTACATATAACAATGTTAAAAGATGTTTTAGTGATTTTTTATACATCTTTAGTTTAATACAACAAGATTCAAAAGTTTCTTTTACTTTTTTGAATTCTGTATCAAGACAAAATTAGACAAACAAATTGAAACAAGGTGACAATTCCTGCATAAATATTTTTCTTCTGTAACTATATATTATTTTTTTTGTAAATGTGAATCAAACGACTCTTATAATTAGCAAGGTAAGATGAGCGTTAACTCAAGAAGTTTAATAATTAAGAAGCTTAAAGACTAAGCAAGCAAAGATCCTCTTGAACTCTTAAAAAGCAAAATAAACAAAACAAAAATAGACAAGTGAGAAATAAACCAAGTACCTAATTGTGTATATATGAGAGAATAATATATAAATGCAATAGTATATTATATAGTCCTTTATTCAACCTCCTTGCTCCTTATATATATTCTCAATTCTCTTTAGCTTTATTCTCTCTTGCTTTCTCCCTTTCTTTCTTTCTTTCTTTCTTTCTTTCTTTCTTCCTCCATTTTGATGTGATATTCTCCACTAACAATATCCCATTCCAAACTTTTACAAAAGTGAATTTTACATTATTCAAGAAATTAAACTATGGTTTTTTCCTCTATTTCTGCTTATCTTGATCCATCCAACTGGCAACAGGTATGTTTTTTTTTTCTTCTTACAATTATATGATGATTCTAAATTCTAATGTCAATACCTAGCTTCTTGAACAAAAAAGTAAAGAATTCATAAAAGATAAAGGAAAAAACTTATTCAACTTTAATTTGTATTTAAACTTCTTTAAATTATTTGTACCATATACTAAACTTTCTTTTAATTCATTTTTCAGCAAGTTGGATATAGCATCCCAAATCCTCAGCTTCCATCAGGACTATCACAACCAACACCACCGCGGCCATTAGCGAGCACTCCTCCTCCTCCACCACCACCACCACCTCCACCTCAGCCTCATCATGTGGGTGGTGGAGGTTCAATCAGACCAGGCTCGATGGCAGATCGAGCCCGGTTAGCAAACATCCCAATGTCAGAGGCAACTCAAAAATGTCCTCGTTGTGAGTCAACAAACACAAAGTTTTGCTACTTTAACAACTACAGCCTCTCCCAACCTCGTCATTTCTGCAAGACTTGCAGAAGGTATTGGACGAGAGGGGGCGCTCTAAGGAGCGTCCCCGTGGGTGGAGGCTGTCGTAGGAACAAAAGAAGTAGCACTAGTAATAGTAGTACTAGTGCTAAATCCAGTAATAATAATACCAAATCTCAAGGTTCTAGCCAAACTACTAATTCTGGTTCTACAAGCAATAACAATTCAAGTCCATCATCAGCAGCTAGTTTACTAGGTCTTATGAACCCTCCAATTCACCCACTACGTTTCATGTCCCCGTTAGGACCATTGACTGATCAACACTTCACCCCAAATGAAATGAATTACACATCAATTTCTTCGCCATCACCAGCTCCAATCGTCATGGGAACAAATGAAAACATGAATTTTCAGCTTGGAATGGGTAGCAACTTAGAGCAATGGCGGCTACACCAACAACTAGTGAACCAATTCCCTTATAATTTATACGGGGGATTGGATTCATCTCCTGCTTCTGGTTCTGGCTCTGCCTCTGCCTCCGGCCTTTACCCTTTCCACCAGGCTCATTATGACGCGAGTGGTGGGGGGGTCATAAGTCAAATAAGGCCAAAAGTTTCAAACCCTATGTTGACTCAGCTGGCATTGATGAAAATGGAAGACGATCAAGATCATGTTGCAAGTATGCCACGTCAGTTTTTAGGGAATGAAAACTGGACAAGTAATGCTAATTGGAATGAGCTTTCCGCAAGTTTTAGCTCTTCTTCTACTAGTAATAATGTACTATAATTACTAATAGATGAAATGTTGCTGAGTTGGCGCTATCTTGTTTTCAATCCTCTATTTGACCTTCTTTTCCTATGTCTGACAGTTTTGTCAGCACTGTAGAAGGAAGTCATATGTTAGGAAGAAACCCTAGAATCTCTAGGTTTTTCGTTTTAGGGGTTTATCTTTACATTTTTTTTGTAGTTTGCTTTGTTTTAATTTATGCTGAATATGTTTTGGAGAATGGGTGTATTTTTTAATAGTTATTTGTAGTAGCTTTATATTAGACATGAAATCTAAATTTTAATTCCTGAGTATATATCTTAGAGTATAATTTTAGATAAGTTATTGTCCTAACTAATTTTTTTGATCACCAATTCTATAACTCTAAAATTTCTTATGTTTTAATCCGAATGAGATATTCCTAGTGTTAAATACTTTAGTTATTGTATGCTAATACTCCAACATTTGATCCATGAAATGATACAAAAGATATTCCCCTTAATGCATGAATTGTATCCAGCAAATATTTCCACGATCAATTATGCATAATATTGTTCATTTGAATATGATCGTCTAATGCATATACAACTTCTGTTTATATATTTTGCTATTTTGTTGCCGATATTTTTCTTTTGGTCGTGCTTTGATTACAATTTCTTTTTAAGTCGAGGATCTATCAAAACAATCTCTTATCTTAGCGCTTTCTTAATCCCTTTATAGAATTATGTTAGATATATATATATATATATATATATATATATATATATATATGTTGTTAGTATTGTTTTATATTGCTCCCTCTAGAACGCCCAATCACAATCTTTTATGGTGGTGAATATCTTGTATTATTAATGTCTCATATTCTTTTATTCTCCTTCTATTTCAATTACTTTAGCAATAGTACTAGCAAATGTTATTAATTATGGAGTAAGATGTTCTTTTTGAAATATTTCTAATTATTACTCCAATAACTAGTACTCTTTCAGTTCTACGATAGTTATCCACTAGTTATTCAGCAATACTTATAATATAATATATAATACTTCATCTTTTAGTACGTAATTTTGATTTCAAAAACATTGAAAATCTACACAGCTTTTTACCAAAATTAATTTATTCAGGGCTTGTTTGATTATGAATAAGTTATAATTCATAAATAAATTATTTTGAAATTAATCGTCTTAGGATTGTTAAATAAAAATAATTTTACAGTTATCCTTTAAAATTTCCTCACAAGTGATACGGAGGGAGTACGGCACCAATAGAGTATTACTTGAAAAATTCCAATTTGTTAGTTTTGTCCAATTCTAGGAATTATTCTTATAAATCTAGCTTAGATCTAGGGGGAATATAATATTCATTTTCCCAAGAAACTAAAGTCATGTTCCCGATGTTTGATTCTACCAATTGCAATAATTTCAATAATGATTTCTTAAACAATTTTGTACTAATGATTCTATAATGATAAACTTGATCATATAATTGCTACTTCCTCCCTCCCATTTTACTTGTATTGTGTATTGATTTGGCATTATTAATGAAATATTTTTTTTTATTAAAGCTTTCTTAAAGAATAGTAATATGAAGTAGAAGAAATATAAAAGTGACAAATAAGGGTTGTGGATGAAGTAGTAAGTATTTATTTATTTTTAATCTAATGTTTTGAATTTGAATCTCTTTAATCAGTATGAAATCATTTTAATATATAAAATTTTTTTGCGTGAATCTAAATTTAATAAATTTCAGCTTAAATATCTTGACAAGATATCAATAAAAAATTAAGAGAGAGAGTTATGCACACATACAAGAATATGGGGACAACATTCTTAAAAGACACCAAAATATGCCCACCCATTTCCACACACACAAAAAAAATCTAGACCACCCTGTTACATTCCCAGACTCCGAGGTTTCTGTGTTTACTGTACTTTTAACACCTCACCCAAAATAATTCTAGGGTTTCGTGACCAATTGTCCAACAATCACGCTAACGATTTCATAGTTTCTACTGTAACACACTCACTCCATTCGCAATAAACTTTATGATATAAATTTGGACGATTTTATTTTTAATTAGAAATTTTAAATATGAAGACTGTAGAAAAAATGTGTGCAATCACTTGTCTTAACTCTTTTATGTCATTATAAACTAGATGAAATGTTATTAATTTTAGATAAAAGACATAAATTTACTATTGAAGTTGTCTCGAATTTTTATAAAAACATCTTAACTTTGCAACTATCCTATTACTCCACTAAATAATTTTAAAAATTTGAGATAACTTCAATAATAATTTTATGTCTTTTTCCAATTTTAATGCAACTTATCCTATTGGGGTATATATATATGTGTGTGTGTGTAAAGTTGCATGAAAATTAGAAAATAAGGATGAGGTAAGCAGTCAAATAAAACAAGACTGAAACATGCATGACAAAGTGGTAGGATTGTGTTGTTTCTGATTTGTTGGCACGAAATTCGAGAAGAATAGAACAGTCTTTAAATTGTTCTTCTTCTGGCTTAGAGATACTTCTTTCTTGATTTTGATGAATGTGGCTGACTAAATTGCCATATGGGCACTGCATTATATTGTTGCTTTTTGTATGTATTCTTCATGCTTCTGACAAAGAAAATATCATGTTTTCAGTCTGGTCCACACACCCCATATATATAGTCAAAGTTGATCAATTGTTTACTCACAAAACAAAATTATAGAAATAGCAAACGTTTTATAGTTATAATTTCAATAATTGTGCTACGTAAAGACATAGCCCATGTCCGTAATTATAACTCAGATGCTAAAGGATTACGCTTTGTATATTTCATTTGCAAATTGTAAATATATTTGTAGTTTACTTGTCAATATATAATAAAGTAAATATTATGATTTTTTCTTAAATCGTAGCAAATAGTTAGGATAATCATAAGTACAAAATTTTGAATTCATATAATCATGTACAAAATTGTACAAATCAAACGAATTATACAAATCAGGCGAATATCAACAATTAAAAAAAATATAGCTTAAATTACATTTTTTTTTCAAATTATAACTGATATAGACTAATATATTCTATTCTGCATAATTTTTCATCGAATATTTACCTTAACACAAAAATTATTAAAGAGAATCCAATAAATCCATGGTGCACATTTAACTAATTTATTATTTAATTTGCTTTTATTATAATAATTTGATAGACTTTTATTTACTTTATTATTATTATATTTTCAAAGTTTTTTAATTATGGTTTTGATTTGTTTCTCATGGGAATAACATAAATAGTATGAGATTTAATTTTCAGAGCCTTTAATAACAAATCAAGGTATGTGATGTTTTCATCTAAAAATCTTAGCTTAAAGTTATTTTGAAATAAGATTACTTGATATACATTTGTCTGTTAATAATATATAATCTTTGAAATAAGATACATAATTACTTGATTACATTTGTCTGTTAATAAGATATACATTATTAGTTGCAATTTTACGTCTTTAATTTTCATAAATAATACTCACATAATATATGTGAATATAATATATATTAATTTTGGGGGAATAATGTACAAACTATAATTCATAACACATGATGACAGTATTCTAAGATAGTATTCTCAATTAAGGGTGTTCTAATATAAGTATGTAACAAATAAGTTTGTAAGTTTATGAAATTTGATGGTAATTTTTTAATTTGATTTACGAGATATTCCCTAAAAATACATACAGATAAAGAAAAGCCATACATCTTTATTCTCAAAATCTAAAATAGTACATTAATTAGTATGTGTATTATGTTAAATTTCTCATTTAAGTACTTATTTTATTTTTTAAGAACTTTCAAGATGAATAACAAAACATGAACTAAGACAGTAATTCTCGTGTACGAAATAAATTAACAAAGATTAGAATAAATGTAAAAAAAATCAACAAAATAGCTGTGTATATGCAATGTATATCTGTTAAGTGTATCAATATTGTATAACAATGGATATATGGTGCATAACTATATATACATACAAGTACATTATTTATACAATATTTTTATACTTATTCTATATTCTAATAACATAAATCTCTTCTACATAATTCCAATTTTATATATGAGCTCCTCTTAATAATTTGAATCTTTCAATGTATACATTATTTACGCGAAATGGTTCACATTTACAACACACCAAATTTTAAAAGTTGAGTTTCAACCTCTTTACTAACAAATTAATAAATCATTATTGCGTCGTTTAAGTATCTATTGAAAAACGAAAAATTTAAAATATATAGGAGTACCAAGACCATCCAAATTTAAAAGTTTTAAAAGTAAATATTCCAAAGCTTTCACATAAATAAGCACTGACTTCATTTTTCTTTTGGGGAATTAATACTAGAGTCATTTTTGTTTAAAAACATTTTATTCTTATATTAAAAGCAGACGATTTGGACCTGCCTTATGAACTATCGAATCGAATTAAGATTTATTTAGCCTTTAAATGCTCTAATATAATTATCAAACACTAAATAAAAAATATTTAAAAAATATAATATATTGAATAAATGTACATTAAATATTACAAAATATATTAATAAATGTACCGAGTCCATATACGACAAGTAATAGTTTTTACTAAGTAAAAATGAACCAAGCAGTTTATTCTATAAAAATATGATAAACAGATTAAAACTTTCATCCCAATAAAATATAAGAAAGAAATTATAATTAATAAACAATTTTTAAATAAAATAACAATAATTAAGTGACATTTTACACTTTGTTTGGATCATTGTTATTCATTGTTTCATAATGTATTGTACTCTATTGTATGGTAGATACAATGCTTGGCTAGATCGTATTATTTGTTGTTGTTTAATAACGTTTTAATTGTTTGGTTTGATTGTATCGTACTGTATCATAAGCCACCCTGTTTGATCCTCGACCGGTCAAACCAAGTCTTCTTCTTCCTCTTGATATCCAAGTCCATTGCCAAAAGCTTATGTCGGACATTCGGGTAGTGGGAGGATAACCTTGCAGTCCTTACAAAGGACTCTATCCTTTGGTAATCTATCTGAGTCTTAGCCACTACCAAGTGATCTTCTTTCTTCGAAAAGCTCAAATTATCATGTTGTAAAAATTTGTAAGTAATAAATGTGTTAAAATCTCATGTATCCAACTATTGATTTTATATAGCAGCCGATCTGCTGACACTTAGGAAAGACAACAGAGCAAGTTCACAAGACAAATTTCTTGTAACATTGAACAAAACTGTGACTAATTGGTTTCTAATCTAAAATGGTACCAAAATCTCCTGTTTGACGTCATAGGTGTT